ACCTGGCCTGAGACGGACGCTGCGGGACCGCCCCCACCGGCACTTTGCGTAGTTGTTGAGCGACGGGCAGACGTTGTTGAGAGAACAAGTTGAGGGAACCTTCTTGACTTGCTGAGAGATGTATAGTCGACAAAGCCATGAAGGAAACTTGTTGAGAGGACCTTGTTGAGAGAGTCTACTGAGGGGAGTGTAGAGAGAACGGAGACCATTAGTTGAGAGACCTTGTTGACACGCCAGGACGCGCTCACGTGCCCGGATCCCTGGCCGCCAGACGGGCGGGAAAGCCGCTAGCTGGCGGGTGGCGGGGCGTGGTTGTCATGCTCAAGGGCGACCTCGACTGGTACTGGAAAGTGCTTGGAGTTCCACGGGATGCTTGCGGGCTTTGCGACGCGAACGCGCCAGGCAGAACTTGGTCAGACTTGCGCCCTTCCAGCGCAGCTTGGATGTCTGTCGAGAACATGCAGCCAAAACTTCCCACCCGGCACCCGCTGTTCGCCCAGCCGTCGTACCTGACTTTATGGCAGGTGTGCCCAGACTTGATGCACTCCAAGCATCTTGGCGTTGATCAGTATGTGGCTGGCTCCGTCTTGGCTCTGCTAACGTGCGGCGGATTGCCCGCGCAGTTCCAGGCCGCCTGCGACTCAGTGCTCGAAGACATCAAAGCCGCCTGCTCGCGCCACGGCGCGCGCAGTCTTGCGTCCTTGAAGCCTTCTATGTTTTTGTCCGACGTCAAGCAGCCCTGGGCCCACTACCCGCGTCTGAAGGCGAAAGCAGCCGAAACCAAGCACCTCATGCCCGCTCTTCGTGATGTCTGGCAAGCCCGAGCTGAGGATACGGAGATCGACAGCAACATCGCACGGTGCCTAGACATGTCTTGCCGAATCGACTCCATCATCGACGCGTGCCCGCGCTTTGCCCTACCTACTGATGCGTCCGCCGAGTTGCTGGAAGTCGGGTACGCGTTCTTTGCGCTCCAGAACACCTTGGCCAAACACTTCCTTCGGCAGGAGGGGCGCTTTCTCTTCAACATCACCTTCAAGTCGCACTGGCTGCTCCACAGCCTCCTTATGGCCAAGCACGCGTCCCCCAGACCGAACCTCAGCCGGCTGCGCCCTGACAGAAGACGCCCTGCATGACAGACACGAGGAACGCGTAAGACCCACTTTCCCAAAGCAGTTGTTTCCAAGTGCTGGGCTGGGTGCTCTGTTGGGAGCTTTAGGCTTATGCTTTAGAGAGGTGTCTCATTCGACAAGTCTTATGTTCGTGTGAGTTCTTTCTCGCGACAAGCAGGTCCCCTGGCGTAAGCCCCTTATATAAGCCAAGTCTCACTTGCATCGCGAAAACTTGTGGAGGCCGCTCTGCTTTGGAGAGTGTTGTTGAGAGTGCTGCTGAGAGCCTTCTATTGCCCCCATGCGTGTTTTGTTGAGAGCAGTCCATATCACTGATTTCCAAGTTTTTGCGTCTTGAGAGTCTTTGGCGAGAGTTGCTGAGCGCACATGATACGGGCAAGGTGTCGGTGCGTGCTATCAACAAGAAGATCTGATGCAAAAGGTCCGTAAGCTTCTGCACTTGTGCACGCGCGGTCTGAAGCCGGCAAAAGCCGTAGAGAAGGCGCTGCACAAGTATGCGGTGGCCATGCAGATGCAGCATGGCGCAGCGCGCTGGTGAGACCTCAAAAGGACTAGCTGCACGCGCCTGCTAGCCCTACCCCTGATAGTTTGCTTGCCTTGTCTGTGCGCGCAGTCCTGTGCTGGCCCGAGCTGTGCAGCCAAGTAGTCGCCATATAGCCTAGCTAGCGCTATGGCACCCAAGTCAGCAGCCGCCGCGCCTGAGGAGGCGCCACAGAGTCACGCCAACACCAGCAGCGCAGAGGCCACAGAGGCCGAGGCTCTTGCCGATGCCGATGTGCCCAAGGCAGGGAAGCGCATCAAAGGAAAAAGAAGCCTGGCGGCCCCAGATGCTCCAGCGGCTGCAGATGCAGCTCCCCCAGATGCTGAGACTGAGCCCGACGACGACAAGACTGCCAAGGGCCCTGCCGCCAAGAAGAGGGCCGCCAAAGCCGGCGCCAAGCAAAAGAGCAAGGCCAAAGCGAAGAGCAAGTCGCGACCAGCGCCGCAGCCTGAGCAGCCAAGCCAGCCGCCTGCGCCAAAGCCAAAGCTGGGCCCCAAGCCCAGGCCAGCCCCCAAGGCTAAGTTGCTTGCTACCGGAGGCGAGGACCCAGACCCGAAGCAGAAGCCGACAACCCGGCAGCGCGTGGTTGCCCTGGCTACTTGGGCTTCAGGTGGCGCAGAGGCGGACAACGCGGCTAACGAGGAGGAGCAGGCCTTGCAGCTTCGTGACCCTAGCAAGAGTCGCTTCTTCAGCCAAAAGATTGGCCTGGTGCCGGAGCCGATCAAGCAGATGTTCGAAAGCAGCAGCAGGGCCGACAAAACCGCAATCATCAACTGCGCTGTCAAGCGCGATGACCGTGGCAGGTTCTTCTTGTCTTTCGGGGACAACATGTTCAAGGAGGTCACGGCGAGGTTCACCTCCGAGACAGGCACCGACCTTGACCACGGCGTCACGCGGACGATCGCCAATGCGAAGTGCGGAGGCGCTGCCTTGGCTTTTCCTTTTCTTCTTCTTGCCGGGGGCCGCATTTCCTTGTTGCGCAGGTCAAGCAGAGCTGGAGAATGCCGTGCGCAACGGCGAAGTGTCCGTTCACAACCAGAATGGCGTCGAGTACTACGTCTTCAAGGCATGCCGGACGCGTGCTTGTGCGGTTGCGCGCTAACGCGCGCAGGAGATCAAGGTCAAGAAGACCACAGGCAAGCGCAGCTCGTGGGAGATGACGGGGTCCGCCGAGGCCTCGGAGGACCGCGGGGAGCCGCCCACGAAAGTGCCTTGCGCGCACTCCCGGAAACTCAACGAAGTCTTCTGTTTGAGAGTCTTGCTGAGAATATTGTTGAGAGTCTGGTTGAGAGCCTTGTTGGGAGTCTTGTTGACAGTCTTCTTGAGAGTCTTGCTGAGAAGCTTGTTGAGAGTCTTGCTGGGAGTCTTGCCGACAGTCTTGTTGACAGTCTTCTTGAGAGTCTTGTTGAGAGTTTGTTGAGAGGCTTGCTGTTGAGTCTAGCTGACAATCTTGTTGAGAGTCTCGTTGTTGCACCGGACTCCAAGCTGGGCAGCTGCCACGTTCCTTCGAAGGAGCCCTGTTCAAAGCCATCGTGTGAAAGGCCTTAGAGCCACATGCCGCCTTGAGGAGACCACCCACGCCTTCCGGGACTACTGCAGCGAGTTCACTTTGTCGCTGGGTGCGGCGTCCTCCAGGGCCTTGGGCCCCAACGGTGCCGAAGGTGAGGCCCTGGGTGACGAGGCTGGCTTACGCTTATCTTGCGTTGTTTCTTTTGCAACCCACCGCCCTCTCTCTGTCAGGAGAAGTCTCGCCTCACGGAGGGCATCGCGGTGCTGAGCAAGATGCGTGTTGAAGCTGAGAGGGTGTGGGTGAACATGACCTCCGCCACGTCCAACGGTCAGTTGATGAAAGACGAGCTCGCCAAGAAGCTGCAGCAGGTTTTGGACCAGGCCTGCAGTAGCTCCCTTATAAGTGTTCAGGCAAAGGCCTCACTTGCCGCGGTCCTTGGCCTTCCCGCGCCAGATCTCCGTGCTGAACCAGATCAATCTCTTCGGCAAGCTCAACGATAAGCCAGTGAGCGCGGCCCACTTGAAGGAGCTGCTGCGCCAGGCATGGTCTTGCGCGTGCTCAATTCGATTCATTCTGTGAACACTTCCTTGTTGAGAGATCCAGAGGTCCCCACGTTCGAGGCTGAGAGAGAGAGAGAGAGAGAGAGGTGAGAGAGCTTGCTGACAGTGCTTGTCGAGAGTGTAGAAATCTCTTGAGAGAGGGCTAGTGCTTGTTGAGAGTAAAGAAATCTCTTGAACCTGCATGTATAGGTTAGTGCTTGTTGAGAGTAGAGAAATCTCTTGAGAGAGATGCGTGCGCAGCCTGCATGTAGACTGGTTGGTGCTTGTTGAGAGTAGAGAAATCTCTTGCGAGAGACGCGTGCGCAACCTGCATGTGGACTGGTTAGGTGGGTTTGTGGCTATATAGTTCACTATAGGGACACGTGCTGCAGGCTGCTACTACCCTCAGCGATCTCCAGGAGAACGTGCAGATCTGCCGCACATTGTCGCGCTGAGCGGCCTGAGCGGCTCATGTTACGCTTTGCATATATGCGGGCCTGACAGGCCTGCGCTAGGACGAAGACGGCCGGGAAAAGGAAAGTGCGAGAGCGTGACGGCGCGAAGTGGAAATGTGCTGAGAGTCTTGTTGAGAGTCTTGTTGAGAGTCGGCAGTGATCGAAGTCGTGTGAAGCCTTCGGTATAGGCGCATATGACTGCGTCGCTGAGGGTTCTGTGCTAGGATTGCTCTGTATATGTAAGTATCTATCTACACATTGCATGTGATTCTTTTCAGTTTTCAAGGTTATTTTTGAAGTTAAAAAAAAGGCTTAATTTCAATTTTAAACTTTAAGACTTTTTTTTTCCCCGAGGCAAGTTAAAATTTAACCCGGAATTAAGGCTTAATCCTAAATTAAGTCTTAAAGTTAAAACGTCCCGTTTTTTGTCTTATCGGAGCCTTGGGGCATGAGAATCAGCAGTCACGTGGCGCGGGCGGAAAGGGATTGATTTGCCTATGCGCCTTCGCAATTATCCTAGCACTGTTCCCTTTGGCAAGATTCACGAAATAGATCGAACATGCTACCTCCTGATTGACAACCTCCCCGTTCTTTCCTTTGCGGGGCTTGAACAATGACCCCTGATCAATACCCGGAGCGGGGGGTTATGAATCAGGCGTCAGCACTACTTTCAGAGAACGGACATGTTTTCAGCTGTTGGGGAAAAAGGTATTAACAGGGGGAACAGGAGCTAAAAAGCCGTGTCCCCGCAACAAGATGCTCGGATCGCCAGGTTTTTCTGACCCCAGCTTGCGGACCTCGTTTGGCGCCAAAGCCACTTGGCAGGACGCAGAGAACAAGGAGATCCAAGAAGAGGAGAAGGAAGGCGAGGGCGAGCCAACGCGCGAGCCAGAAGAGGAAGCGAAGGAAAAGGAGACAGAAGCAAAGGAGGAAGAGAAGGACGAGACAGGGAAGGACGAGAAAGACAAGGCGGCGGGTGAGAAGGAGCAGAAGCAGAAGGAGGACAGCGAAGCTCATATTTGTCAGAATATGTATTGATCATGTACATATACGTGCTATGTATTGCATAATCACATGCGTGTATGCACACGTACACATACAGGTCCTCAGGTTGGTGTGAACGAACTCTTGCCGGTCAGTTTCGATCGGGCCATGGGCAATCGTTTGAAGCTGGTAGGTAACAAGCCCAGTTTTTCCCGTGCCCATCGTGCCCTCGAAGCCAGTGCCCTAATCATGGAACCAAACGAAGGCACTTTCCCCAACAGAAAGAGTTCCCCTTCAACGTGAGGTTGCCTTTTGGGGCTTCATGCTAAGTTCAGAAATGGATCAGACAGGAGGAAGCGAAGTCGGAAGTGAAAGCTGCAGCAGAGCCTCAGGCTGGTTTGGGCGATCGATGTGAGGCTTTGTCTTTGCCTCCCTATGGGGTGATTTGGCCAGGGCTCGTTTGGGCCTCGCCAAGTTATTTCACGGTTTCTGAACCAAGAACCACATGTCGATCCACCTCACCTTTGGGTTCAAATATCACTTTAGAAGTTGGCAGCTCTGGCCAAGCCTGCACTACGTAGGCCCCATACTTATCGCCGACCCTGAGCAATGCCGAAACGCGCAGCGTGCTCAAATGGGGCACCACCTCTGTTTTTGGCTTGTCACTAAAAATCACAGGCACACCTAGCAGTTCTAGCAGTTCTGAGGGTTCTATTGCGCTAATTCGGAAATTTCGGAAATAGCCCCAAACGGTTGCTTTCATTTGTCCCTTGACCATGCCCGGATCCCGCAAGACGCCTTGACAAAAACAATGGCCAGGCCGCGCCTCTCATGCTGGGCAACGGCTGAGGCAGGTCCCCCATTCCGGGTCCCGTTCGGATGGCCAAGAACAAGACAGGTGCCTTCTTGTCGCTTTTCCCTAAAGACTGGGGGAGACTGGGGGATCAACCTCCATGGTCCTTTGGTCCAAAAGGGACTGGGCAATTCTGAGGAGCGCCAGCCTGAAGCCTGGCGGATTCGAGCAAAACCACCTCCCCCAAGAACCGCAGGGAATGCTTGATGTGCGGGGTGTTGCCGTTTGTGCTCGCTGCCACAACTTTGGCGAGAGCCCCAGCCCAGAGCAAGAGCCACTATTTACCATCATTTGCTGTAGACTTTGAAGCGCTGATTACTCTCCGGGGAGACATGTCGTGGTCATTTCCCGAAAGATATTCCCTGTGCATGTTTTGCTTTGAGACTTTGTGAACGATCATTTGCCTCTTCCATTCCGGGTACTAAGAAACTTCACAATTCCAGAATGTCTGAGCGCCCAATCCCTTCTTGAGGGGCCATCATTGAACGGGGTTCTACCTGGTTTCAAGATAGTAAGGCTTATCTAAAGCTTCATAGCCGCCGTAAGCCCAAAAGTCATTGGGTCTTGGGCGCTTATTGTTCCAGCTTCTACACGCGGCTCCCCGGTACCAGCACTGAAGTTGCCAGGACGTGGCGCGCGCTCTCTGATCGGTCTCACCTATGCACGGGCTCCACTCCGCAGGCAAGTTCAAACCGCTGGTCCCACTCCCAACCGATGAAACCTTAGTTCCCCAAACTGTGTGTGTGTGTGTGTCTGTCTACCAGCCTTCCACCTAGGTGATTAGCGGCAGCCTTCGACCTTGGTGATTAACGGCAGCCTTCCACCCGGGTGCTTCACGCCAGTCTTCCGCCTAGGTGATCAACGGCAGTCTTCCACCTAGGTGATGAACGGCAGTCTTCCATCCTTCATGATGAACGGCAGTCTTCCACCTAGATGATTAACGGCAGCCTTCCACCTAGGTGATTAACGGCAGCCTTCCACAGATGCGTAACGGCAGTCTTCCAGCTAGGTGATTAACGGCAGTCTTCCATGATTAACGGCAGTCTTCCACCTAGGTGATCAACGGCAGCCTTCCACAGATGAGTAACGGCAGTCTTCCACCTAGATGATGAACGTTAGCCTTCCGCCTCGGTTATTAACGGCAGTCTTCCACCTAAGTGGTCAACGGCAGCCTTCCACCTAGATGGTTAGTAGCGGCCTTTCACCTAGATGATCATAAACGGCAGTCTTCCAGCTAGATGATTAACGGCAGTCTTCCAGCTAGATGATTATCGGCAGTGTTCCAGCTAGATGATTAACGGCAGTCTTCCAACTAGGTGGTTAACGGCGGTCGTCCACCTACGTGATTAACGGCAGTCTTCCACCTAGCTGAGTAACGGCAGTGTTCCAGCTACATGATTAGCGGCAGTCTTCCAGCCAGATGGTTAACGGCGGTCGTCCACCTAGGTGATTAACGGCAGTCTTCCACCTTGGTGATTAACGGCAGTCTTCCACCTAGGTTATTAACGGCAGTCTTCAACCTAGCTGAGCAACGGCAGTCTTGATGATTAACGGCAGTCTTTCAGCTAGATGATAAACGGCGGCAGTTTTCTAGCTAGATGATTAACGGCAGTCTTCCACCTAGATGATTAACAGCAGTTTTCTGCGCTTGTCTTCCATCTAGGTGATTTACGGCAGTCTTCCAGCTACAGGATTAACGGCAGTCTTCCACCTAGGTGATTAACGGCAGTCTTCCACCTAGGTGATTAATGGCAGTCTTCCACCTAGCGGAGTGATGGCAGTCTTCCAGCTAGATGATAAACGGCAGTCTTCCACCTAGCTGAGTAACCGCAATCTTCCACCTAGGTGAGTATCGGCAGTCATCCGCCTAAATGATGAACGTTAGCCTTCCACCTAGGTGAATCACGGCGGTCGGCCACCTAGGTAATTAACGGCACTCTTCCACCTAGGTGATTAAAGGCAATCTTCCACATAGGTGATTAACGGCAGTCTTCCAGCTAGGTGATTAGAGGCAGTCTTCCAGCTAGATGGTTAACGACAGTCTTCCACCTAGGTGATTAACGGCAGTCTTCCAGCTAGCTGAGTAACGGCAGTGTTCCAGCTAGATGATTAACGGCAGTCTTCCAGCTAGATGATTAACGGCAGTCTTTCCCCTAGGTGATGAACGGCGGTCTTCCACCTAGATGTCTAACGGCAGTCTTCCGCCTAGGTGATGAGCGGCAGTCTTCCACCTAGATGATTAACAACGGCCTTTCACCTAGATGATTATAAACGGCACTCTTGCAGCTAGATGATTAACGACAGTCTTCCACAGGTGATTAACGGCAGTCTTCCACCTAGCTGTGTAACGGCAGTCTACCAGCTAGATGATTAACGGCAGTCTTCCACCTAGATGAGTAACGGCAGTCTTTCCCCTAGGTGATGAACAGCAGTCTTCCACCTAGATAACTAGCGGCAGTCTTCTACCTAGCTGAGTAACCGCAATCTTTCACCTAGGTGAGTAACGGCAATGTTCCTGCTTAATGATTAAGGGCAGTTTTCCACCTTGGTGATGAGCGGCTCTCGTCCACCTAGGTGATTAACGGCAGTCTTCCACCTAGGTGATTCACGGCAGTCTTCCACCTAGCTGAGCCACGGCAGTCTTCCAGCTAGATGATTTTTGGCAGTCTTCCACCTAACTGAGCAACGGCAGTCTTCCAGCTAGATGATTAACGGCAGTCTTCCAACTAGGTGATTAACGGCAGTCTTCCAGATAGATGACTAACGGCAGTCTTCCACCTAGGTGATTAACGGCAGTCTTTCACCTAGCTGAGCAATGGCAGTGCTCCAGCTAGATGATTAGCGGCAGTCTTCCACCTATCTGAGTAATGCAGTCTTTCAGCTAGATGTTCAACGGCAGTCTTCCACCTAGATGGTTGCAGGCAGTCTTCCACCTCGCTGAGTATCGGCAGTCTTCCAGCTAGATGATTAACGGCAGTCTCCCACCAAGGTGATTAACGGCAGCCTTTCACAGATGAGAAACGGCAGTCCTTCACCTAGGTGATCAAAGACAGTCTTCCACCTAGCTGAGTATCAGCAGGTTTTTAGCTAGATCATTAACGGCAGTCTTCCAGCTAGGTGATTAACGGCAGTCTTCCACCTAGGTGATTAACGCCAGTCTTCCACCTAGCTGAGTAACGGCAGTGTTCCAGCTAGATGATTTACGGCAGTCGTCCACCTTGGTGACTAACGGCAGTCTTCCACCTAGATGATTAACGGCAGTCTTCCACCTAGGTGATTACCGGCAGTCTTCCACCTAGCTGAGTAATGGCAGTCCTCCAGCTAGTTGATTAACGGCCGTCTTCCACCTGGATGATGTTCCCCGAGATGATTCACGGCAGTCTTCCACCTAGGTGATTAACGGCAGTCTTCCACCTAGATGATTAACGGCAGTCTTCCAGCTAGATGATAAACGGCGGCAGTTTTCTAGCTAGATGATTAACGGCAGTCTTCCACCTAGATGATTAACGGCAGTTTTCTGCGGCTGTCTTCCATCTAGGTGATTAACGGCAGTCTTCCAGCTAGATGATTAACGGCAGTCTTCCACAGGTGATTTACGGCAGTCTTCCACCTAGGTGATTAACGGCAGTCTTCCACCTAGCGGAGTAATGGCAGTCTTCCAGCTAGATGACAGCATCGCCAACCGTTTCGACCTGTGCAAATGCTTGAGCCTTCTGTATTTTGACGATTGTTTGGTTTGAAGAGAACAAAGTTGACTGATCATTGGAAGGGCAAGGTTCGATGAATGCCGTCCATCAGTCATGTGTGCAGGGGTTGGGATCCTACCTCGCCCCAATCCCCCACTTTCAGCATCCCCAAATCAACATGTCCTGTGGCTGTTGCCAATGTGCCAGACAGCATGGAAAAGGGCAACAATGGCCCAGACCCGCGTAAAGGTTGAATGACTCGACTCAGCCAGCCTTGGCTGTCCGCTTCCGAGAGGCAATTGTGCGGCCGTCGCTTGAGATTGATCCATATAGGTGACATGTCTAATGGCGCGCGTTTGCGGATGCTATCTGCAAGCATGCCGTTTTTGTTCAGCGATTTCTTGCATGATCTGTATGTGTTTTGTGGAACATGTGCATGGAGTATGACTTGTGGACAAGCTGGATTTGGAGTCTGGTCTGCCCTACAGCCAAAGGCTTCGGGCTACGCTAAGCCAAGGGTTCGGCTTTGGTGCATGGGCTCACTAGAACAGAGCATGAGTTTCGTCCAAGGATGCTCGAATTCAGGGAAGGTGAAGACCCCTCAAACACAGCCACAAGGATCTTTGGTTTTTTGTTCTTCTTTTTTTCTGGTAGATTATCCTTGTAGACAGCTGGATTTTCCTATAGATTTTCTGGCGGACTTGCGCTTAGGCTTGTCTCAAACTGGTGGATGGGGGGTGGGGCGGCGTCCCTTTGGTTTCGCTTGCAAAAAAACCCAAAATGGCATGGGTACCCTCGCAAGAACAACATTCATTTGCGTCCCCACCAAAGCACGGACAGCCTCGCTTCGTCCGGCTTATGCTGCGGGTGCGCGAGGGTGGAAACAGGCTGCGACGGGGCGACTCGGCTGGTACACAGAAGCAACCCCAACGCAAGTACCTAAAGGGTAGTGGGATGGAGTGGGGAAATCTATAGCTCCATGCTTCTTTGAGAAGACTTGAAAAATGGAATTGGGCCCTCCACAAAAAATGAATTTAGGGATTTAGGGATTCCAATAGTATTTTTCTACTTCAAGATAGAATCGGACAGAGGGGGGCTTGAAGGGAACTATCTTCCCTTTGGTTGCATGGCAACGTGGGTGCGAGGGTACGGTCTGGAAACTGGATATGAAGTGTGGCATATGTTTCTCATATTCAAAGGCTTCAAATGGTTAGTGCCCAAAGCGGTTCACCATTCGACCGCGGAGGTCTCTTTTGGAGCAGTCTCGCCAAAGAACACGATGCCGCACCGCACTTTGCTAGGGTTTGCAAAATCTCACTCGCCGGTTGTTTGACATCGGTTTGAGCAACTTACAAAAACAAAAAACTAGCCTATGTCGCCGGCTTGGTTTGCATGTGCCGCGAAGGGTTCACCAGTTTCAGCGTGCGGCGAGCCCAAGAAAGGCCAACGCCTGTGGCTAGAACCTCGTGGAAGCACCCCGAGGCACGTTTTTCATGCTTGTAGAACAAGGCATGTGTCAAACACGCAAAGGCATGGACATCATGAGGGTCAGAGAAATGAGGATGAGGTGTGATGGCTTTCCACCTGACCCTTTTAGGTGTGTCTATTTTTCATTTTGGCTACCTTCCCGCTCACCAAGATTAGACCCACAACAGGATACAAGTTTGCCCTCTTGGGTCGCCGCACCCCAAATGTTCACACCATTTCTCCTTAGAGTCCTGCAAAGTGAAAGAGCACCGGGGCGGTCAATTTTCACGTTTGCAAACCGTTATAATCATATTTTGTTTTAGCACAGTTAAAATTGACCATGCCGCACCTGCCTTGCGACCACAAATCTGCCAAGTTGACCCGCTAGCGTGTTTTGCTACACTGTTCTATGATTGCATTTATTGCACAGGGGCGTTGAACGGGATACGAAGGGACGGCATTGAGTTGGGGCTTTGACATGTGGTTTGTTTATTGGATAGTACCCTTGGTAGGGTTCTTTGAAGGGAAATCAAAGAGAATCCACTCACGTCTAAGGTGAACATACCCATCTCATTGTGCCACAGTCATCACCTTTTCAAGTTGCTCTTGCTATGTTATATGAAACCCTCTCCCTTTCCGTTGTGTGCGGAAATGGAAAGGGAGGTGTGCAAAAGATTTGGCCACTCATAGTGCAAAGTCAAAGAACATCGTGGTGTTCCCCTTGCCACTTGGAAGGTGAGTAGACATTTTGTTTGTTTCCCTTCACCAATTTTCCAAAGTTTCTACCCTTGCCGAACGGAGAGAGCAACGTAACAAAAACAAAAAACACACGCAAAGGGGCCCTCAGTGATCTGACAGTGCCCGCCGCTTGCCGCTTGGCTAATTAGCATACCCGAGCGGGGCCGTCGCCAAATGCCATGGAGGACCGGGCCCATTGGGTCGTTTCAAGGGAGACACAAGGGTGTCTCTTTTGATGGTTTTTGTTGTGATTTTAGGGGGAAACCAAAGGACCACCACCATTTTGGGGGGGATCCCCTAAAAAGACACACAACCAAAAGGAACCTGTTGGGAAATGTTCCCCGTCGGCACACGGAATCTGAGAATGGGGGCAATGGACATTTGGAATGGTGATGGGTCAACATTCATATTCTCAGCGACGAAACGCGACAACGCACACAGAGGACATCCGTGCGCGCTGAGGGCACTAGAGGGCCATGACCTAGGTTTCCACGGAATGAAACATTTTCTGAGCAACCATATCCCCGTTTCGCTATGGCGTTTCTCTGTAGTTTTAGGCCAAGCAAGAGCCAACAACCATCAACAATCAACATCACCGCCATTGAGTCTAAAAGACTTTGAATAGGTGTGTGTGTGTGTCAGCAAAAAGTCTGCGGCCCGACCCTTCAGCTGCCGCAAGTGTTTTCGCTTTCCGCTAGTCCCCCTCCAATTCCACCAGCCTCCCTTTCAGGTGTTCCGCCATGCAAGTAAAAAGGTGATGGGGCCCTTCACAAAAGCAAAGGCATTGGTTTCATTTTGTGTTCCTCAGCGAATCATTCGAGGCGTTCGCCCAGCTTGGCTCCAGATGGTTCCGTCCTAGGACGAATTGTTGGTATGTTGCTTTGCCAATCGAACGAAGCCCTGTTTGAAGGCTACGGGGAAGATATCATGTGGGTGTGTCCCCTAGTTTAAGGGTACGGTGTTTTGGCGGTTGTTTAGAGGGAAGCCAGAAGCAAACCGCTTTGTTTTGGAGGGGGCGGGTTCTATTTTGAGCCATACCGGGCCATACCCATGGGAATCTCGGGGGCATAGGTAGTTAACATCCAGGTCCTTTTCAATGCTTATTGGAAAATAATACCGTACCTTGAGTCAGCATCCATCTCAATGTTCAGGAGTTTGACACGTTCAATATTTTGCAGCTTTGGGCCGCAATGGGCAAGATACCTGATTGGCGGGCTTTCGGTCGCCATTGGCGAGAAACATGCCTTGGCTGATATAGATGATTAACGGCAGCCTCCCACCTAGATGATTAATGGCAGTCGCAGTCTTCTGCCTGGATGATAAACGGCAGCCTTCCACCTAGATTATATGTCGCCTCCCACCTAGATGATCAACGGCAGCTTTCTACCACCTAAAGCGGAAGGAGGAGGAGGTGCTCAACAAGTCCGGGCCGGAGCTCTTTAAGGAGCTCCGGCGCTTCTATTCTGTAGCGCAGGCGGGGAGGTGTGAGTGGCTAGCGCATGCGTTCCCCTGATGTCTTTGGCGCTGTTCTTGCCGGAACTGGTGAATGTCTCCTGAAGCATTTGGCCTTTTTCAAAACTCGTCCACTTTGGCTTTGTGAATTCCTTTTGGGTGCTCTTCATTCCCTACAGCTGTGCATCCACAACAGGTTGCCAAAATTGAGGGCGTGTTTGTTTCTCGTTCAGAGGCACCCTCTAATTCCCTTTTCATTGGCTAGCTGCACCACTACTGGAATCAGCTCCAAAAAGGACACCCATTTTCCACCACTGACATTGGGCAACTGGGGCTAGTGTTGCCGTTAATGTCGGGTTCCAAAAAGGGTGCCATACCGTTGATGCATTCGGTGGGCGATTGACCAAGGTGCGCCAAATAGCTTTGCAATGGCCCAGGGGTCATGCAACTGGTCTAGCCCTTTCTCTCATTATATCCTTCTGGCGCCAACGACGGCGATGCTTCTTCGACCGTGGTAGCAAGTCGTTTCTCAAGGCACGCGTTCCACTCAAGCACCCAACTGCTTTCTTGGAACATCTTGGAACCAATCCCAGTCCGCCGGAGGGTGTTTCCAAAAGAGGACTTCCCGTGGGACGGCGCAGGTTGAGGACTACTTCAAGCATGGTGCCGGAAGCTCGGAGCTTCGCGACGAATCTCCGCCGAACGGCCCAAAAACCGGTTAGGTCCAGCGCGATATCATGTACATCTAACGTTTCACAAGAATATCCTTGATGAATCAATCTGTCTGTTTTTGGATGAAGCTTATTTTGTAAAGAGGAATCAGATCCACGTTAGGTTGCCGATCATTCATGTTTGGAATCTTATTTCAAGGCCCCTTTGCGGGGTTCCAAGCTGATTTGCAGGGAGCATGGGGGAGCGTCCAACCTGTCGCTTTAAATTGGGCTTCCCGTGAAAACCAGCCCAATGAGAATGTTCTCAGCAAAGGACACATTCGTAAACCGCGCGTGAAAGGCGAACAAAGGCCATGATTGCAATGCAGGGCTTTCCTTCCATCCACTAACATGGAACCTGACTGCAGGTCCATGGACGACCATATTCCTCTTGAATGGACCGTTAGGTGGGTTTGATGTTGGATTTGCGGGACATTATCTCATCAAACAGTTATCTAATTTGACCCTCTTCTTGTCCAACCGCCACACACTTGTCTTCACCGTTGATTTGACCACCGCCACCTTTCTCTTCCGAAGCATGCAGATCAAGAACGTCGACGTTTGAGGGCGATGTACCCTTCCAGTAAGCCGGAAAGGAAAATAACCCCCTGATCCGGAGCACGCTGCAGCAGCTCTGTGCAGACAATCGAACCCCCACAAAGATGTGCCACGTTATGATGAAGGTTCAGGTCGGTGAATTGTCATAGCTCACCCCACGTGGGAGTGTCTATGTTTGGCTGCCCCATGTAAAAATGTAGCCAGGTTTTCTTCCATCCACAGAGAACTTAACCTCTGGAAACAGCGAAGGTTGCCTTCCCACTTCCAACTGCCCGGCCCGCCCTGGAAGCCGTGAAAGCAAAAGCCAAGAGCCCACCAACCATCCGCTCACTCCGGGAATGCCAAATTTACCGGTCGGAGGATCATATCACACATGCAGGACATCAGAGCCCAATGACTCATTTTTGAACTCAAATCATGAAGGGAAGACCAAGCAGCTAAAGGTTTTGGGGAGCATTCGTTGAGGGCTTAGTCTTTCAAGGGGCAAAGCCGATCCACTCAGCTCCCAGTTCTGGGTTGGCTCATTGAAGCTGCAAGGGTTGTGGGCAGGGATGGGCCAGCATCATATTTAAATCGGTTTCATTTGAACAATTTTCTTTTGGCTTTCCTGCAAATGCAACGAGGGGCTTGGTTGTTTAAATCAATTCGGCCCAGCCCCGGTTCTGACCACCTCACAATTCCTCTTCAGGTTGCATGTTGCCGGAGGGCAATTTGCTTGCCAACAGTACTTCACCTTCGAAGTCCAAGTGCCTGACTTGCGTTCTTCTAGACTACACCCTTCAATCACACCGTGGGGAGAGCCCAAATGGCTCAAAGCTACAAAGTGTCATTTAGAAACAGAAACTGGGGGAGATAGTTTTCATGCGGGGCTTTGACAGCCTTTGTAGAAAGTAGGCATCTAAAAGTGCACAAACAGTGCAAAGAGGGCCTGATATTCAATTGGTCCGTTTCTCAATAGAAGCACTTGAAGTGGGCACCATTCATTATCTTCGAGAAGGGTCAGATCCAAATCCTTCCCAGTGGATCCAGCTGCTACTCTAGGTAGCCTGCAAATCGTCCTTTTTGCAAGGGTAATTACAGGAAATCACAAGCTCAAAACCCTCGCCCTTGATGATCAGAGTCGCACAACCCCCCTGGTTCAAACCTGAAAGGCTCCAAAGGCATCCCAGAAAGGTCTGGCGAGACGAGCTGATGCGCACCGATCTGCGCCTCATCGCGGTGCACCGCAGAGAGGATCGAGGGGGCGACCGTTGGAGATTTGGTTGTTCAAAATTCAGTCAAAGAATGACTCGTCTTGGGTCAATGTGGAAGAGACACGGGGGGGGAACCTGATGTTCTCATGTCCTCTGGAGGAAACAGTTTGATCGCTCAAATGAGTGTGATTGTTCAATGATTGCTTCGGGAAACGGGTCCTTTGAGGTTCGTGGGGTGGTTCGTTGGGTTCCCACTACGAGAGCCATGGCCGTGGCCAGGAGTCTGAGTTTAGTTGTCCACCGTTGACCGGTGAGAATCGCAGGGTCCAATTGACGCACATTTGTCCGGTGAAGTTGGAGTTGAGAGTGCAATGATGTTATCTAAGTTATCTAGTTGTTCACTGGAGTACACCCTGCGTCCCTTTTTTTTTTGGTGGATTCCTCCTGAAAAAGGACTGGACTCTAAAAAGATGTTCCACCAGTTGTTGTTCCATTCTTCGGATTAGCTTGGATGAGTTCACTTGGATGCCTTGTTTTTTTCAGGTTGCCTTGTTTAGTGCTTTGTCTTATCTGGTGAAAAGGAGACTCGAGGGAAATTGCAACCGCAGTTTATAGGTTTCATCTAGAGAGAACCCATTTGAGTTGGGGTTGAGGCACTTGTTGTTCAGACGGTTTCAAAGGGAGAACAAAGGCCTGCCACCATCTCGGCTGGCCTGTTTTTACACAGCCTGGTGAAAGCAAGCCAAGAAAAACGGCCTAGTTCAGACGCCCACGGATTTTTCGGACTTTTGAGGCACAGGGGACCTGACTGCGGACCCAGAACCCCTGCAGCTTCGGGGCGGTCCGTTGACGACTGTGGGACAGGCGGGCGCCCCGGAACCGCCAGATCTGTCAGAGGCGGGGGGGGGGGGCTGGGGCTCTCGTTTCGGCGTCGCGAGTAGATGAGGTAAGATGACTGCGGAGGTCAATGCCGCTGGAGAATGCATTCTCCAGCCATGGGGCTGGGATCACAGGCAACTCAGCTATTGAATCTGCGTGTCAGGGGTCCGACACGAAATGGGTGGTTTCCCTTTCGGCTTTGGGTGTCCCGCAGAAGAGCAAGGCTTAAAAGGGATTTTCAAACAAGGGAACACCCATAACACATAAAGATACTTGTTGATCGGGCGGGGCTGCGCACAAAAGTTGAATGTCCATTATTGTTGTGTTACATGTACAAACTCATTTGGATCATTTGGACCCACTTTGAAGGCGCAAAAATGCCGGCAGGGTGCCCCAAAGTGCTCTTGGCAACTTGACACATGTTGCTTTCCCCTCCCCCTTTGGCGCTGCCTTAAATTGTCGATTCAACTTGTGACATTGTCTATATAGGTCATGTCCGTTGTCGGTTGTTGTCAGAGGCATAGTTGGGATAGGATTTGCGTTTCGTGGGTCATTCACAGAGTATTCACAGTGTAGGCTTAACTCCAGCATGTTGCCTGGACATTCTTTTGACTGAAGAAATACTCTTGGAGCCGGAGTGTGGAAGCCTAACCTCAATTGCCGTTTCACGTTTTCACAGGAGACGACACCATTTTAGGGTCCCCCAATTCTGACTCATACTCATAGGGACCCCTGACCAACGTGGAAGAAGCAGTAGCAGTTCTCCGCTCGCAGGTGCAGGTGCCCGACCTTCCGAGGGGCGCCGGGCTGCCTGAGAAGCAGATTCGGTTGGACCCTTCCCGATGGAAACCGGTTTGTTTTTGCCTAAGCCTGGTTGGGGCTTGACCTTGGGTGAAAAACCTGGAGTTAGTTTAGAGAAACAAGATGAAACACCCCAACCTTCCAGAAGAAGCCAGCACTTTAGGGGCCCCTCTCACCGCCCAAAGCCCATAAAACAACAGGTTTTCCATTTCTTGGCAGGCGTGAATTGTTGAGAGTCAATGTGCTTTCGTGGATCGGTTTGCTGAGGGACGTTTGGGAGGCAGAATCTACCGGGTACGTGGGTCGTGTGTGTTTGAGGCTTGTGGTCCTGACACCACGGTTGGGGAGCAATGGTCCCGTTTGGCACAGATTGTGATAGGCAGCAGTTTGCGCGTGCGTTTCGTGCAAATTTGCGGCGCCACACTTGGGCACCTCACTCCTACTCAAGCAACACACTAATCCAACAGTTTGACGAAATGCTAATCCAATAGCAATCAGGACGAAACCCATACTCAACCAGCTGCAATACCACATACATCTAAACCAATACTAGCCAATTCTTCACCAATGCTGAGGAGTTTAGGCCCCAGCCAATACCAACAACATACAGGCAGACATTTGAATCGGTGTTGGACCAGTCCTGAGCAAGAGACGAGGCGAAGCCCAAGCCAATTTTCAGCAGCACCACAGAGGTCTAAATCTTTGGAGAGGCAATGGCGAGGACAATATTATGAAAAAGCATTGCCTGTCTCTATCTCTTTCCTATCTCTCAATCTCCCTCATTCCTTCTTCTCACCTCACACGCACTTAGTTTCTCCAAGGGAGAAGAGTGGAAGAGATAGGAAAACCCTCAGTGCTCCATCCGTTCGTTCTGCCTGGCTCAGCACGCAAGTCGCTTGAAGGTGGACGCTTCCGCGGGCTGTGTAGGAGAGGCCTTTGAAGCTGCCCTCAGTGTTGCTTTTCAGGGACTGATTTTCCTGTTGCGGCCGAGATTTCTTGGAAGGTTTTAACAAGTGCTCTTGCACTGTCGGGAAACCAAGAGGACATCACGAAAGCTGCTGAAAACAACACACCCGTGGTCAATAGAGCGGGATTGTCTCCCCTGCAAACTGGGCGGGTTTTGTTTGGTTCCCATGTTTAGGACAACCACGAAAAGGATGCACTCAAAACAAGACCAACAACATGTTGGTTAGCGTTATGTCGGGGACCCTGGTTCATGGGGCTCCCCGTCAGTGTCAAATACGACAAGTTGGAGCCTGGTTGACCAGTTTCCTTTGCAGGGACGCCATGTCAATGTGGCATGTGACTATCAAACGTTCAGGCCTATTGTTGCCCCCCCCAAAAAGTTTGTACCCCGGCTTGCTGCCAATTCATTAAAGAAACAACGCTTTCTGTGGGGATTCAAATCGTCATACCCGGGCCAACTTGGTGATGCTTCCCTGCAGATGAACATGGCACCCGAAAAGAGTGTTTTCAATCAGGCGATTCTCTATAAACTGCCGTTTTTTGTCTGGTTCATTCTGGTTCCATCTGTCGGATGGCTCAGGCTGTCGCCCCAATGGCCGGAGACCTCGGAGAGGA